AGAAAAAAAAAAAACCTCATATTTGAAATCTTTTGTACAAAAAACCCCATACAATTAAATTTTTCGTTAAAAACAGTAAAAATGTCAAAATTAAGAAGTAATAATTGTAATTTTAGTATCCAAATTTTTTATTCTTTTACAAATTATACCTAAATTTTTTTATACCACCTACAATCCCCTAAAACTTTATTAGTTTATTTAAATCCTCCAAAATCCCCCACCCAAATTCATCATTTCTTTTTCTCATTCCAAATAAGTATCTTTGGGGTGAGGTAAGCTAAGAAAAGTGTTTGTGACTATCAATTTGAAATTTCTTACAGTGATATTATTTAACCCGAGTGTTTTTATTTTTTCTACTTGTATGTACACTCGACATAGAAATAATTATAATGTATATTTTTTTTCTTACAGTTTTTGTGACTACCAATTTGAAATTTCTTACAGTGATATTATTTAACCCGAGTGTTTTTATTTTTTCTACTTGTATGTACACTCGACATAGAAATAATTATAATGTATATTTTTCTTCTTTCTTTTCATTTCATTATATAGGAGCTTAATTAAAGTTTAATCTAGAAATCAATGTGTGACAGTCATTATTCTTTCTCTCTCACAACTTCCAGGTATGCTTTCATCCATTGTGTGTGTTCTAAATTTATTTTAATTTCAATACGAAACAGTTAAATTGTACTTATTTGAGTGCATATGAACATTGTCTCTATTAAATTGTGTGTATTGATTACGATTTTCATTGTTAATGAGAAGGCAAAATGATGAATTTGGGGTGAGTTATTTAGGAGGATTTTGGAAGGTATTAAATAAAATAATAAAATTTTGGAGAAGAAGATGAACTTGGATGGCGTGAAAAATAAAGTTTTAAAGGTTTGAAATTGTGGTTGGTACATAAAAAAAATTGGATATAATTTGTAAAAGGATAAAAAGTTTATACACTAAAATTGCAATTATTACTTTTTAATTTTGATATTTTTACTGTTTTTAATCGAAAAATCTGACGGTAGTGGGGTTTTTCGCACAAAAAGTTTCAAATAGGGGGTTTTCTATGATTTCCAATAGGTAGGAGTATATTGCAAATGGAACATTTTTAGGGAATTTTCTGCTATTAATCATTCGTTATACATAAATAGTTACTTGAAGATACTCTTATGTAAATATACGATGAAACCAAAAGTACTACCCGTTATTTAGTCATCACTCATTTTTATTTATTTATAGTTTGAACTGTTCGTTAGGCCTAAACCTCCAATCAATGTAGATTCAATACAAAAAAAAATTTATGTAAAAAGAAAAACAAAATCACATGTAATTTTTTTTTACGTATTAGCCCGACCTATAATTCGATTCTGAATCCGTCCCCGTCTGCGATTTAACTTTAACGTGTGTGTAATATTTTGTTAGATCCTAATTACTCTCATAATTAACACATAATCGCTAAATATATAATTTACATTAGACATACAATCATCAAAGAAACAAGGTAAGTTTACCATCAAGGCTGGCAAAGAATTTTATAATACAGACCGCAAATTCCTCTCTCGCAGAGACACACAGAGAGAAGGGGGTTAGGGGTGAGACAATGAAAATGGTAGAAGACAGAGAAAGGAGAGGGGCAGTTTGGATTGAGAATAAGTGTAAAAGGGACAGAAGAAGAAGAAGATGATGAACAATAAATGATACTGTAAATAGGTGATGAGCCTTATGATAACCCTCATCATCGTCACGTCGTTTTTACTTCACAGATACCGATGACTCCCAGAATTCCACGCTCTCTTCTCTCTCTCTATCTTTTATTTGTCTCATTTATTTATTTATTTATTTTTTTTGTGGTTTTCCCCTTGCTCTCTGTTTCTCTAATATGCATATATCTCTTTCTCTCTCTCTCTCTCTCTATATAGCCTTGAGATGTACTAGTCAACCTTCCTCGCTTTGTTTCAATTTAAACCAACACCATTCCTTCTGTGTTACCTTTTTCTTTCTGTCTCCACCGTTCAATCTCTATCTCTCACTCAAAATTACCTACCTACAGTTTGTTTTCATCTCAGATAAAAAAACCCCATTTCGATTTTTCATCAAAACCCTATCTTTTTAATTCACCAAGATTTCAAACCCTAAATCTTTCTTGTTGGATGATGGGATACAATGATGGAGGAGATTTTGATAGCATTCCAGATTCATTTAGCAGCTGGAAATTTCGGCCTCTCGTGCCGAGACCTGCTGCTACTTCCACCACCACTATCACAAACCCTTATTGCTTCAGCCGTATAAATGGCAATGATCTTCTTTCTCTAAATCACCGTTATTGTAAGTTTTTTTTCTCTCTCTATATCTCTGTGTTTGTGTGTATGAATGTTTTAATGTGGTTTTGGGTTATTCATTTCAGCAGGTATGACTGAAAAAAATAAGAGAGAGTTCAATACGCAGCAGGTTGTAGCGAGCTCACGCTGGAATCCTACGCCAGAACAACTACAAACCCTTGAAGAACTGTATCGAAGGGGCATTCGAACTCCTTCGGCCGAGCAAATTCAGCACATTACTGCACAACTTCGAAGATATGGCAAGATTGAAGGGAAGAATGTTTTTTACTGGTTTCAGAATCATAAAGCTAGAGAGAGGCAAAAACGCCGCCGTCAGCTGGAATCTGTCTCTGATAATGAAACACCTCGGAATAACATTGAGAATGGTGAAAATAAAGAATCTGCAGGTAAAAAATCAATCTAAGGAAAATATTACTAAATTTTACTCACTTAATTCTAGACACCTACAAATCTAAAACTTTTAGACGAAGTGATTAGGCATAGTATCATTCTCGGCAAAGATCTCAAGTTAAAATCGTAATAAAGACGAAATCCGTCTCCCAGTAAACAACTTTAGACCATGTAGTTTAACGATACCTCTTCAAAGGCTTTTAAGTTAATGACAGTTAAAGAATCATCAACAGTACTCATGCATGAGAGAAGAGAGACAGAAAGTTGAAGAGTTGTTTGATATACACTTGATTCTCCTTCTGCTATCTATTTGTTTGATTTGTATTAACCCTTTTTTTCATTCCGATTCTCTCAAGTTATAAAGTTGCCTTCTTTTTGTTTTTCTTTCGGTCCACAGATGCAAACAGGACAGGATTTGAAGTTGAACAGACCAAAAATTGGGCATCTCCTACAAACTGTAGTAGAATTGCAGAGGTCTGTTTCCTCTTTCCCCTTTGTCTTTAGGGGCAAAAAACTCTTCCCTTTACTTAAACTCAGAATTAAAACCATCAGTCTCTCCGAAAAACAATTAGATGCCTCTAATCAATTAATAATTTCGAAATGATTACATCATCATCATTTAACAATTAGGTTTTGTTATAGAAAAGCATCAAAACCTTTAGTTTTATTTGTTGGGAAATGAAAAGGGTCCAAAAGATGCCTATCTTCCTTTTTGTCGGGGCAGCTATTGTTATGAAACAATGCTAGGGTTTTTGGGTGCTGTGCTTATTCATTTCATTGGGAAAATCGATGTGAGAATCCATAATACTGTCTGACCTTAAATGTTATAAGACCATTTAACCCCTATACATTGTACTTCTGATGAATTAAACTTAGGTCAATAAAGCAGCAATGTCATTGGGAACGCCTATGGTATATCACAAGAAAAGTAAAAACAATCGTGTTATACAAACATAATGGTTGACATAATTTTTAACATAATATCACATGACAATCTACTATTGAATTGTTTAAAATATATTCAACTTTTTCATTAAATCACATCATGCCAACACATTACTGTCATTCTCTTGTCATACATTTTTTGGCACACAAGCATTATTCAAGAAAAAACTTTTGTGTTTTTCAGTTCGATCTAAGATTACATACAAAACTAGTGTAAAAGTTTTTGCAGTGTTTTCTCATTCTGCATAGATATAATTATCAGAAAACCATTGAGTGGAGGGAAAGGGGTTATGTCAGTGGTCAATCTGTTTGGTATTGTAAAAATGAAAAAGAAAATCTAGTCTAAAGTTCTGTCTCAATACTTGCATCTAACATTCTATATTGAGAATTTTATTGTGTTTTCTCATTTTATATTTGTATTATCAGAAAACCCTTTCATCAACACAAAGGGCAGCAAAAGCAGCAGAAGCAGAATGTAAATCAGATGGATGGGTGCAGTTCGATGAGGCTGCTGAACTACAACAAAGAAGGACACTAGTAGAAAGGAATGCTACGTGGCAAATGATGCACTTGTCCTGTTCATCATCTCCTACAAACCTAATGAACCCTACTACTGATGTTGCATCTACTTCTTGTCCATTAACAGTAACAGTAATCGACCCAAATCTCATCAAATCTCAAGATTCTGATATTTTTATCGGAACCAGCCGAGACGAGGAATTCCAGACCCTTCAATTGTTTCCTCTTCGAAGCGGCCATGGCTATAGCGATACCAACGAAGGTTTAGCGGAGAATGAGACGGAGATGTCTGCTGCAGTCATGAGTTCTAACTTCACTTCTTTGCAGTTTTTTGAGTTCCTACCATTGAAGAATTAATTAATATGCATGGAATTGAAAAGCAGTTTACCACTTTCAGTTGACTATATATATCTATGTATTAAAACGATGAATTTGTATTTGCTTGAAACCGGAAACTGGAAATTTTTTGCGGATCTTGATGTAACATTTCAATGGTAGATTGTGGATATGAACAAAAATTGCCTTCAAATGGTTTTGGACCATTTTGGGTGAATCGATGAAATGCTAGATTATTGCAACATTCATACTGGCTCTATATATGTTGACAGGACTAGGACTTGTTCATTTACACAGATATCCTTCTCTCTCTATATATATGTATGTATACGTAGAGAGAGAAATAGACGAGTCTGCCAATGAAGGAATTCGAAAATTTTGAGGGTTTGATAATGAAGTGCTGAAATTAGATGGTGAAGTGACTTGGAATTTTGATAAGGGAGGATTCACAGTCACATATATAGAATATAATAATTTATATTTCTGTAAACATTCCAGTCATAAATACAAGGAAACAAAATTGACTGAAAAGGAAAACGACACCTAGGGTTAGCTTATGAAGACAAAACTCAGAATAATAATACTACTGTCTTGAACATGATCTTACTATATACCATAAATGCAAGATAATTTAGATTGAGAAAAAAAAAAACGTTTTCCCTCTAGAATGAGCAAGAATTTTGATGAGAAAATTTTGGAGATATCTACACATTAGATTATGTATATAATGTGTAGATATCGATTTCGACATAAGTTCATGATTGATTTTTTAAGAAACTATCATATAGATAAATAAGTTTTAGTTGTGTCGAGTAGTGTGTACCATATTATTCATCTAACAGAAAAATTTAATATATCACAAAAGGGATCGGATATATTCTTTTGAATCTTTTTTTGAACATATCTCCTCACATGCATATCATATTCATTTTTAGGGATACATTTACAAAAACTAGTAAATTATGAGATCAAATTATGAAATTTTGAAAATTCAAGGACTTACCTACAGCATCTTGAAGTAGAATAATGTTATCCAGCACTAGTGATGGTAGAACATAATTATAGGTGTCTAAATTTTATAGGTTCAATTAAATGAGTCAAGTGATCTATCATTTAATATTATATAATTGCCACCTAAACTGGTTCTTAATATTAGTGGTGATGAATAACATTACTCTATTAAATAGGTAGAAAAGGCCTTGTAGTCCATTAACACCGCCATTGGGGCAAATTAGCAGGATTATTTTAGATAAGGAAAATTTGGAAAAATAAGTTAAAAGCTTGATACCTTTTGCAATTTGGGATGAACACCAAGTGAAGCATGGAGTTATTTAATTTTTTAAGAGTCACAGAATCAAGTTTAGCTCAATTCTTCAAAACGTTTGTGGAGGTTAAAAACAGATCATCTAAAAAGTAAGAAGGTGAACACGTAGATAAATAAGAGGTCAGCTCAGTCATCCAAGCTGGTAAAAGTTACGGCTTCTGATGCACCTGAGAGGTATGTGGAAGGTGGCTTTTGTAGGAAAATTTTGATCTTCCACTTGAAGGGATTGGAGAAGAAACCAGAAACAAATAATCGTGATCATCAAAGAAGAATCAAAATGTCTAAACACGATAATTATATCGTTGTGCTCAAACGATATTTGTCCCATCTTGAATTGAAATTTGGTGCTTAAAGGGTTTTTTCACAAATGGTTTGTAGGATTTATCAAGTCTTGTAATAGAAAAACACTTAATGTTTTCAAATGATTTCAATAATGATTTTTAGCCCCTATTTGTTCTACATTTTCTTCTAATTAGTAGAAATTTTGTGACCATTTTTTTTCAAACTGTTGGGCCCCATTATCACACATTTTGGTCAAAAATGTTGGCTAGAAATCTGTGCAACCGTCACAATTCTTATACAAATGGGGAAAAAATGTAGAACAAATAGGGCCTTAATGTAATTTGTGTTGATCACGAGACATTTATATATAGGTTTCAATCAATACTCACGAAATGGTGCCAAAAATATGTGAAAAGTTGCACCAAAAGTTGCCAAAAATTCAAATAAGAAAGTCAGCCAAACGACTATTTTTTAAACTTACGAGACAGCCTGCATAGATCAATTCTATGCAGTTGCATAGAAGACTCAACTGCAGGGCCTCAAAACCCTGCATGTATACATGCGACCGCATCCCTCTTGGATTATGCGGTCGCATAGTGCAAACTTTTGGCTTCCAAATCTATTTTTCATTCCAAATCTGTTTTATTAATTTTGAACAATAATTTCAACAACTTTATGACATTAATGGAGCAGGTTATTCCTGTACTTGGCATTAGAGAGGCAATGTACAAAAATCTGGTCCAGCGATTAATAGAAAATGATTTGAACAATACGGGGTTTGTATACCTTAGGGGATGTCTCTCCACCGTCGACTAGAGGTGGTGATTGCAAGTGATGTTAGAGGTTGTAGAATTGCCTTGTGCTCGAGGATAAGGGAATATGCTGAAACGCTTATCTATGCGTTCATGGAAGATAATGAAGCTCTGGACTTCTCAAATTTTGGGTATAGTAGTAAATTTACTTAAATCTCCTTCAAGATGTAGCAAATCCGAAAGGGATCGACAAGAATATGATCAGGATGCATTTGGATGCATGAAATGTAGTTTCTTTAAACTTTTTGATACATTCCTAATTGTGCTAAACGTGCTATCTAAAGTGGTCTAATTAAGAAATGTTTTCATTTTTTCTTGTCAAAGATTTGACATGTGTACTACTTTCATAAATGGATGAGTAATACTACTTGCAGTCGTTCACTGCAGCAGCCGCCCTATGTGGCACACACATGGCATGTAGTTATTTGATATATTAATGTAGTAGTTTTTGACCACATTTAATGCATCAAATATACACTTGCCATGTGTGTGGCACATAGGACGACTGTTGCAGTGAGCGACTGCAAGTAGCATTATTCTAAATGGATACTGTCAAGATTCGATGACATGTCTTCTATGTGACTCGATAAATGGGTGGCGTCGACAGTCAAACACAGGTGGCTTATCTGTTTCATATATCATGTTAGTTACCAACTTGTTAGATAGGGATTTCATGTATCTCCTTTAAAATATAATTACGGTTGGACAACAAGTACAACGAGTAATATGTAACTGCAGGGTGAATTAAATGAGGTACGGCACATCACCCTGCTAAAGAAAATGACAATACCTCGACTAAAGGCAAATTTAGCAGGCAACTACTCCAGATCTTTTTCGCTCTTATGGTTCAAAGTCAGCATATCTTGTGCTTCTGAATTGTATCATGAGAATTAAGTCCATGTTTGGTGGCCTTTAATTTTCAAAAACTATGTTTTGAAAAGTATTTTTTGGAGAATGTATGGTTAAAAAGAATGATTTTTTTTTAATTTACGTGTAAATTATTTTATTGCGTGAATATGTGATTAAAAATGAGTATGAAAAATAAATTAAAGACCACCAAATAGCGAAAAATGCATTACAACTTTGTTGGAGAATGAATTAGGGGGTTGGTGTCGCCTAAACTGAATGGTGGATTTGCACCATTTAAGAAAAGCTTGCAAACAGATAATTATGCAGGTAGCAGGTGCTAGATGAACCAGAAAAATAATAGAGCAGAATTGTGTTTTTGATTTTCATTCATCCTCTGTGTATATATAGTTGTACAATTGCTCTTGCTAGTAAAGAATTTACAAAAAAGGAATATTCTAACAATTCTTAGGCTCTGTTTGGGAGGGATTTAGATTTTTGGACAATAAATCAATTCTCATTTTAAACCACACATTCTTCAATAAAATAATATTTTTCATCACATCAATAATTTTTTATTCTTTTTCAACCATACATTTCCCATCATATCACTATTCAAAAATTAATTCTTCTCCCAAAAATCTCTACCAAGCAACCTTTAAATCAATTAGAACGCTATTATAATTTGTCTACATGAACTATCTTAATAACCATTTGTAGGATAATTAGACTGCTTGAAGTGTACTGTTTGAACTGGGTAATAAGGACATAATTTTAGTTACCTAGGTTTTATAATTTACAGCTACCATTGAAAACAATTAGGGCTGTTTGAGCCACATTTTCGGTGTATAATGCATTTTGGAATAATATATTAATGGAGAATGTATTGTTAAAAATGAAGAAAAAGTTTTTTATTTGCGAGTAATATTATTTTATTAAAAATTGTATGATTAAAAAGAAAAAAGTAAGGTAATTTGGTTGATTTCGTGGACTTTTTTTTGTTTTGAATAAAAAAATAAGGGTTGAGAATTTTTTTTATACAAGGGTTGGACTTGGGAGTGAAGAAAATATGTCAATATAATCACCGTTCAATCAAATCTTTTACTTTTCTTTTTGACATTTGGTGTTTGGGCACAAATAGTAGAAGATCTTCATAAAATCTTGTAAGATCACTATTGTCAACGGCTGAGATCTTGTATTGAAGTAAGAAGGCCAATAATGAGCGTCGATCACACCTGACTGACATAAATATTCAAACATAGAGATATTTTGCAAAATCTTTTAATACTACTATGTTAAATGTTTTCAATGATTATGTTATAATGTGGTCCTCTTCTATTGTAAGATGCGCGTGCACGTGAACAGAAAATATGGTACGTAAGATTATCTTCTATGGGACCAGATAAAATGGCACTTGTCACGCACTAGAAGAATTTTCTGTGTACCACTCGCCAAATTTCATTTGAAAATCTCTCTTCAAATTATTACTAGTTAATTTTAACAATATATACGTATTTCGTGGAATCCATTACTTATCTCGTGATAAATAAATTATAATAAAACTCAAACACCTCATCTTGAAAATACGAATACGTTAGTCTCTAACATTTTATTGGCGACGCAATCAATTCTTTGTCAAGTTGGAATTTACGTATTGATGCTACACAGTTTAAAGTGAAACATGTACTTCCATGAGGGTCATGTGAAACATTAATGAAATTTAGTCTCTGTTTAGTAGAGATTAAATTCATCGTTTTAGTATATTTTGATAAATATCAATGAAATGTATGGGGCTCGTTTGATTTTCATTATTGTAGAATGAGAATAAAAAATACAGTCGTTATTGGCCCACACAATGATAGAAATTCAAAATTGAAGATTTGATATGATGGATTACGGTCATATTTTTCATTTGAATTTTGCTACAAGTACATGTAAAAGTTTCACAGAGTGAGTAGTTTTCAGTTTTCACATGTTACTCACAAGGGGGGAGGGGTGGGTTAATTTTTTTCCATTTTATATCCACGTGGGGCCCGCATTTGTGAGTGGGTTGTAACCCATCTCTGAAAATATCTCTTGTACTTGGCGATTAATTCTTTTTATTTTTATGGATGAAAAATAAGAAACAAAATGAGGCATGGTTGAAAAATATAAATATAAATTTCTAAAAAAAGGGGGGCTAAAAGAGATTTGTGCAAGGATTTGCTTATTTTTTTTCTTAAGGACTAAAGTGTAATTTTGCCCTTTTATCTTTTTAACATCCAATCAAAACTCGAAAAGTGTAAAGGGCCTCGGGACAACAGCCATATCTCAAAAGCTGATCGCACTGGATTCTCTGCTCCTCTATACCCATATCATTTTCATCAAAAGTACTAATAATAGATTTGATTTCCCAACAAATTTTAGCATTTAAAAATTATATATCCCCATTTAATCACGTATTTTGTGAAAATAATAAATAAATGCAAGAATATAAATTCAAATATCACGTGGATTAAATTAACAAACAAGCAACTGATATTTTATTATCGAAATTCCAATAATTATTTTTTATGAAGTTCAAATGTTCTAATATATTATTATCGAAACTGAACAAGTCGAGAAAGGAAGGAGACATTCGATAATTAATCCATGTTTGACAATCATTAAATGAGTTTTTTTTTGAAAAAAAAAGTAAGTTTTGAAATAACGATTTTTTGAATGTGGGGTAAAAGTTGAAAAATTATGAGTTAATGTACAAAATAATTTATTGTAAGAACGTGTAAATGAAAATGAGTTTGAGAAAAATGAATTTTATTTTAAAATTGCACCCTTTAAAAAGTTTTTGAAATCGGATTAAAATTGAAAAATTAATCGTTATTGTTGATTTTTATTAGACGGATGAGATTCAATAACGACTGTATTTTTAATTTTAATTGAATTTTAATATTTAACAAACAAGCAATAATTAATTGGGAGAGGCGTGAACGGTGGTGGAATCCAGGCGAAGATCTTTAGCAATCAAAAGTGCATGGATTGTTTCTAGAAATTAGAGAAAAAAAAAAGGTTGGACCAGACACGCTTAACAGTTTGATTTGAGAGGACGTGACAATTAAGCCGCACTTTCACTGTCTTGCGAAGGCGTGTGATCCACACAATTTTCATTCTTCTACTCATTTTTAATCATACAATATTCAATAAAATAATATTTTTTAATACATAAATAATTTTTCTTTTTTTTTCAACCACATATTATACATAATGGATTATATATAATTGCTTACCCTCTCTCACATAATACGTGAGGGCCCGCGGTATTTAAAAATTTCGACAATGTGGTCCTCACTCCCATTGTGAGTAGTAGGTAAAAGATTTGATAATAAAATTCAGTACATGTAGTATAATCCTTAATCAAAATCATAAATGCTGTATAATTTTACGAAAAGTGCACTAAAAATTTTACTAGTAAGATGATCATAATCTTATTTTATAGTTGTACAATCCATTTAATTGAAGAACATGTAATTAAAAAGAAGAGAAAGAAAAATGTATTTTAAAAAAAAATGAAGATCAAACGACATCAGTAAAAGGTTGTGAATCAATTATTTTTTAAATAAAAGTGAAAAAAGTCAGTGGGCTTCACGCAGTAAAGGAACGCGTGCGCAAGAAGTAGATAACTGATAAGAGCTGCCATTGTTTTGGGCAACAAAAAAAATATATTTGAAAGCAGACTCGTGCACACGCACATGCAAAATTCATCATCTTTCCTCACTTTGGGAGGGAAAACAAAAAAATACTGTTGGAACTTCCAAACCCTATTCAACAAAGGGAAACTACACACTTCACATTACTATATATACTATAGAGAGACACAGATAGAAACTGTATAACAGAGAGAGAGAGAGAGAGAGATGTTTGCATCTAAGAATGGACTAAAGGGAGACCCAAGGCTTGAAGCAATTTCTGAAGCCATTAGAGTCGTACCTCATTTTCCTAAACCAGGTTTGATTAATCTTCATCTCAATCTTTTCTGTTAAAGTGTTAATGGGTTTTTGATATCATATGTAATTTTCGGTGTTCTCGTAGGAATAATGTTTCAAGATATAACAACTTTGTTGTTGGATCATAAGGTTTTCAAATACATTGTCGACATTTTTGTCGACAGGTACAAGAACATGACTATCTCTGTCGTTGCTGGTACCTCATCCTCTCCTCTCTCTTTATATATATGTGAGTGTAATCTACGTTTATGCGAATAGCCAGCATATCGAGGAATATCATGAAAGACATTTCGACCGTATCAATGACATATTTGGTAGCAAGGATGAGATAGTTCTCAATCATATTAAGGATGTGTTTGTCTCATATTATTGGGAGAAAAATAGAGTAATGAATAATATTTTTTGGAGAATATATGGTTGAAAGTAGCTGTATTGGTTTTTGTGTATAATATTTTATTGGGTGAATGTGTGGTGGAGAATCTTACTGTAGCAAACAATTTTTTTGAAATAATGGTAGACAAACAGGGCTAAGAAAAAAATAAGCTAAAATCTTATTTAAATTATAATCGAGGGCACTAATGATTATTATTATTATTATTTTAACCATACGACTTGTAGGAATTGAAGCTAGAGGGTTCATGTTTGGTCCTTCTATTGCCTTAGCTATTGGTGCCAAGTTTGTTCCCCTACGTAAACCAGGAAAGTTGCCAGGTATAAATATAAAGTATATTTTTATTTATTTATCGGCTTAATTAATATTTTTTTGCTTAAATATATAACTTCGTTTCAGATTATTGGTTAGAAATTGATTATTCAGGCGATCTTGAGACAGTAAAGAATGTGACAATTTCATTAGCACTATTATATATTGCCCACTGAACTGAATGAAAAGTTAACAAAGCATGAAATATTTTCACTAACCAAAATAGTTCCATTCCTCCACAGCTGTTGCCGATGAAATTGAAATAAATGAATCTTTTAATAAGTAGGAATGAACTAAATGATTCGATTCCCTCGGTTTCAAACCATCGTCATAGGACTTGAAGAGCCAGATCACAAAAGCTAGCCAATCTGCCAATGTGGTTGGAGAACCCAAACCTATATATACCCCACAAAGGAAGCTCATACTTTCGACGTGGGATCTCGATTCCCATAAATCACATTGGAAATCATGACACCATGGTATCGAAATTTGGATTTTGCCCATAAATTTCTACCAAAGGTGGCAAGTCGATTGATATAACTTGTTTAGTAGGGTGGACTCTATATACATGCTTAACTATTATTCAAAATGAAAAGGAGTGAAAATCTAATTTATTAAATTTTTATCTATTAATGTGTAGGAAAAGTAATATACCAAGCTTATGAGCTGGAATATGGTGAAGATTGTCTAGAAATGCATATTGGTGCTGTACAGGAGGGCGAAAAGGCTTTGGTAATTGATGACGTGGTGGCTACTGGTGGGACCCTTTCTGCTGCTATTAAACTTTTAGGTATGCTGAATTTCTTTTACTTCATTTTATTAATTAATATCCAGTTACTTAAATTAAAAAAATACGTCAAACGATACTTTCAGAAAGAATGGGGGCTGAAGTGGTTGAGTGCGCCTGTGTTGTTGGGCTGCCTGAGCTCAAGGTAATGCTCAAAACCAGTTAATTAATTTTATTTGTGTCAAAATGTGACTAGCCCTCACCTAGGAACTGCTCGGCCGTCATGCCACTGGCTGGCCGGTGGATTTTGGCCACCATAGATAAAACTTTTCTTTTGTTTTTCCAGGGACAAAGCCGGTTAAACGGGAAGCCACTTTACATACTAGTCGAGCCACGCGAAATAGAAAACTGCTGTTGAAGTATCGTTTCAGCCTTGTAGAGAAGTAGGTTAAAGAACGATTTTAAATGTACTAGCTGGCCAAAAATGGGTTTGACTCTTTTTTAATGGAACAAAGAAGTTTGATTTACTGTTGCATTTCAATTCTGGGAAATTCTCTTATTAGTACTGATCTGATGTAGGTGCACAAATTCAAGAATTTGCAAAAATGTATGCAAGTTTGGTACCTAAAATTGAAGACTACGGGATAGGGGAGGGTGGGGATAAAAGGCCTTAAATATGCTTGACCTGCATGTCGTAGGTCACCTAATTCTTGTTGGGAGATTTTCCAAAATAGTCGGGTCAAATAGCCCATTTGAGTTTTTTGTAAAAATGTCAATTTTGCCCTTAATGAAATGATTTTTTATTGCAAATCATGTCCTCACACTTTATGGTTTTTTAGTAATTAGTTTTATTCTTATTTTTATTCGTCATCACTGAATGTTTCTTCTAAATCTGATTTTTATTAGGAGTCGGCGCTGCTAGAAAAAACCATAGATCTGTATCTATGGGCTCTCACCGGCGTGTTCCAAGCATAGTATTGAGAGGTTAGAATGGGATAGAGGGAAATGAATTTTAGGGTTGGTTTGAGTAATTTTAATAGGAATGAAAATTATATAATTAATATTAAATTAAATATAAAAAACCTGATTTCTGAAAAGTTAAACTTGTAATGTGATTTTTGAAAATGGAAATCTAAAATCAGGGGTGGGTGTAATTTCATCTTGGCACAAGTCATGGTAACCTAAACTAACGTATATATACCCACTTCCACACCATTGCAAAAGTATGTGTGCTTTGTGTTTTGAGAGAAAACAGTGGCTACTTCCTATCTTCTTCTTCATGCCTTTTGCCTCTATTGTTTTCTCCTTGCCTTTGTGGCTTTGCAAACACTATCATACTTGTGTTCCTTGTGGGTACATTAGAAGTGGCAACCAAAATAATAGAAATAGTTGAGGGCCGGAATCAATTGATTGATTGTGGTTTGATATTGGTAAGTTTGAATTGAGCCCGGATTCCACGAATTGAAGATCCATGCTAAAAAAGCCATTAGACCCATGAAAACAAACAGCATTGTGAAATGTTGATTCATCAGTTAGAAGTAGTGCATAGACCTGGGCAGAGAAATCAATTAACATTCCCCTTCTGGCAAGGGTTTCCAGTGAGACAAAATGAGCACAATGCTGTACCATTCAATTTCAAATACCATTTTTGAATTGAAAATAATCTAAAAAATAAATCACAAAGCGACATTATTTTTCAAGGTTTAAGTTTTACCTCAAAGACGCTCTAAGCAAGACTAAGAGGTTGTTTGGAAATAGATTATAATCGACTTAAATATATATATATATATATATACACACACACGTGTGTGTGTGTGTGTCATTCGAGGTGGATGAATAAAAAATAAGTTTGACTGTTTATGTTTATAAAGTATAAAACAAGGCTATATATCTTCCGCTCAACATCGTAATAGGAGAGAAAAGAACTTGTTACTTTTAGGGCAAGTTTAACTTAGCTAGTCATGGCAATGAGCCCTTAAACCCACGAGCTCACGAGCCGAGCTGGCTCATGGCTCTTTTGCTCGTGGCCGAGCTCGGCTCGGCCCACGAGCTTTTTGAATTTTTTTTTCTTACTTTTTCGCGTTTTTTTTAAAATTTTCTTTAATTTTTCATGAGCCCACGAGCCGGGCTCAGTTCATCGAGCTCACTTACTGTTCGGGCTAGTCATTTGACGAGCGCGAGCGACTCATGTTTTCACGAGTCGAGCGACCGGGCCGACGAGCCGCTCAGCCCTATTTTATTAAACTCTAAAAATCATATATTTAGTAATTATGATATTATGTGATTAAAATTAATTTTTGATTTTGACTTTGTTTTTTATCAATTTTTTAATCTAAACCAAACATGGGCCTAGGGTCTATCGAAAACTAGAGTATTTACGTAGTATGGACTTGGCCTTGTACTTGTTGATTTGTAGTTTGCTAGAAGAGGAAATTACATAAATTCAGGTGTTTAAAGATTGTTTTTTAAAAATCAGGTGAAAAGTTTATTTATTCAAAAATCAGGTAATTTATTAAAACTCTAATTAATAACCAGAATCCCTAACAAAACCTAAATCATTTTCTTCTACTCTCCTTCTCTTCGATTCTTATCTCTCTCTGTACCCTCTCACTTAGTGTCGCCGGAGTGGAGCAGCGACGTCATGCTAATCTCCCTCACAGACGTCGGCAACTGCATTGCTCCTCCATTCCCCTCTCCCTCACAGACCACATCGTTGAAGACCTGCTATCTCCTCCGCCATTCCCCTAGCTTCTCCTTTATATAGCGATCTGGTAAGCATGTGCTATGGGTGTGTACGCAATGGCGGAGTGGAGTTGTGGTGGTGGTTTGGTGGTGTTTGGGAGTTTTAAGGTATTTTTTGTTGGTTGTGCAGGTAGATGTGTTGGTGACTTTGGTGGATCGACGGCGATTTTGGTGAGATTGTGGGGGTGGTACATTGTTAGGTGTGTTTGGTGGGGGGTTTTGGCTATGGTTGTGGTCTGGTGGTTGTGGTGGTTTCTGGTGGCAGTAGTGTTAACGGTGCGATGGTGACTGTTGATGGCGGCGGTGGCGGTGGGATAGAGTATGTAATCAACTATTTGGTTGATTTGTGACCAAGAATTGGTGGTGGATCGGGATCGAGGGTCAAGTGTTTTGGTGTATGCGACCAACAATTTGGTTCATTGTGACTAGCTATTAAAATGTGACCTTAAAATTCGATAATTTATGACTAAAAAATAATTTCTAACCAATAAATTTAAACATGTGTGACCGATAGATAAAATGTAACCTATGATTTTTTTGATATGTGACAAACGAAATAAATTGTGACTTATAAAATTTTTGATTTGTGACATCGAAATAATTTGTGACAAATTAATTTAATAATATGTGACCAATAAAAAAGTTGTGACCTAAAATTTTGTATATGTGTCCATTAATTATATAATTGTGACTTTATTATATTTAATTAGTAAAAATATATTTAATTAAAAAATAAATACCTAATTTTTATATTTTTAAACTTAAAACCTGAAAATTGAATTTGAAATACTCAACACCAGATTTATGATTTTTTCCCTTCCAGGAAAAGGGCTATGGCCCAATACAGTCAAGTAGCAAACTATGGTGAGCCAGACAACTTAATGCTTGAACCAGATTTATAAAATTTGTCAATTAACTAAACCACAAGTCCCAGGGTTCACATGATTTAACGTAGGGTTAGTCATCAAGCTTTTCCTCGTAATCAATTTTAACCATGTTCCATGAGCAAGAATTTTTCAACCGTTACCATTTATCTTCACCACTCCAAATAATCCCAATAGCATGTTTAGTACTGAAATGGATTAGATAGTAGTGTCAAGAAAGGTAAAATGACTAAAATTTATGCATTATATAGTTGAGTCTTATCTCGTATTACATGTCGAATATATTCTTAAATATTTACACAAGATGCTTCAATTTAGGAAATATTAATAATGACACATTCATAGGTAAAGCTACATTAGAAACATGCTCTTAAGTATTTACGCATGCATTCTGGACGGGACCAATCGGCGATTTGTACTCATGGTTCCCCATCTTATATACGTGTCCACTTGAATTTTCTTTAGGAAATGATTTTGCTAAGTGTATTTCATATAGGAAGCTAATCATTCATCAATAAATCTAAATTAAATGACCATTTAGATTTTCGCTTTGCACGTGATAGTTGGTGAAATTAGACGATATTAAATAAGAAAAACAACTTAAAATAATATATATACACATATATTATTATTATTATTCAAATCCATTTAGTAGGTCACTTACTCCCATAAAAAAATAGGATCCCTAGGCCAACCCCATAGAAAAGCCATTCAGGCCATGTTTTTTTATGATTAAAATCTGATTTTAATCTAAGTCAAAATCAAATAATCAATATTAACCATATCTTTCATGGGTTCCGCAGCTTTTCAACCATACATTTCAAAAACTTCTATCATAATCTACTAAAAATCTAATTTTAATAACCATCAAACACTCTCTTAAGAAGAAAGACTCTCGAGGAAAATCGTGAATCTTTTCATACGTAGTTACATACTTACTCTCGTCACTTAGATAGATATATCCGGCTTTCTAGGATCCTGCTTCTTAATAACAATGTGGACTCGCACGAACGAAGATCTCCCAACATTGCACATTTGGGATTAGTGCGAAAATAGATTTATACACAATCGAATACATTATCAAGTCAAGAGCTATGTAGCTAGTAGTTCTTGTTGACTTCTTGTTGTTGTATCATCATGACTTTATTAACAATTTGAACGTTACTAATCATACTTCTCCAGCCAAATCACTTAGGATGCTAAATTTAGAGTCTCTCTTCCCATAAAGTTGATCACATGTATTGGTTAAAGTAAAAACCTTTTCAATCCTTGTGGGTCATATATCAAGGAATAATAATATACTTTCATTCAAAGTGGTATGCTCTTTTATAAAACATTCATGGATTTCGAGTTTCTAAGCGCGGGTAATTGAGTAAATTCACAACATTTAAGTTTGCCATTATTACGCATGTAACGGGTCTTGACCAATATTACATCGAATCGATTGGATCGGTAAAAGTTAAAAGTTCGAAACTCGTTAAAAAATACTCAAAATTCGATCCGTTCATAAAAATTGTGTTGTTTTATTATTTATTTATTATTTTTACAATCAATTTCTGGGACCAATTACAAATAAGACAGGTTTTTTGGGATTCAATGTTGGAGAAATATTGAATTTTATGGTTTTGTTTGTGGTAACTCTAATTTTGGGATACAATATCAAGGGCTTCTGAGCCGTGACGCGGTGGCTATTGGCCGTGTATGGTGGTGATGGCAGTGAAATGCGGTGGTCGTATTATGGGACTACTTATGGTGTGTTCAAGATAAGTAAAGACGTGTGTATATCTTAATT